TCACGAGGATATATATATCTATGTAATCTTGAAACACTCCGATCATGTATTTCTGCCCCTGCCAGTGGGTGAATGATATGACTTGCATAATCAGCTAGCTATCAGCTTTAGCTCTCGTAGAGCGTATTTTAAGTGAATAGATAGCTACGCATAATGTGAGTTATAGATTGCGGAGTACTCTGGGCCGCCGCAGGTATGAAGCTTGAAAAAGCAACACAAACTGGCTGACAGTTACGAGTTTCGCCATAAGTTGTATTCTACCCCATCTTTGAGGAGTGAGCCTTAGCCAGGGACAACGCACAACGTCATATGCATCCTGGTGTGTTTTTCTTCTTTCTAGAACTCGATGCGATGACATCTCTTGAGCTCCCCAGCTATGGATGGTACCCACAAAGAAGCTTTAGGCTTGAGCTAGAATTCCGGGGGGAAACGTGGACCAGTAGAGGTATTAGTTCGCGCGCCCAGGATGTTTGCTGGCAAGTCTAGGATGTAAGGCTAACAAAAAAAAGGAACAGTGTGAAAAGCTGGGGGATCTGTTACGTAGAAACTGGGGTTTCCCATAATTAGTATACCCCAGTATGTAGTGCTGATAGTCCATGTGCAGCAGGACAGTCTAGTCCATTAGATATCAGTTATAAATCTCGGCCCAAGTGTCGGAAAGCGAGATAGTCGTGATAATGGCCGTGGTGAATCCTAGTGATGCTGGAAACAAAGCTTATTGCGGAAAAAGCGCCAGTGCTTGATCTTCTGTACTCCGATTACGCCAGGATAGCGTCGATATCAACATCTTTCGGCGAACAATGTCCAGCTACATATCTGGCCATGGGCCCGCATCAATTGTGTACATGTAATCACCGGCAAATGCACGGTCTAAAGCCCCCTCTTATCATTCGCCGCACACACCTCAGGAGTTCATGATAGGCGAGGAATTAAGCGGAGGAGGGGTATAAAGTTTAAAAAGGACCGCCCAGCGCAGTCAATCATCAGTATGAAGAGTATTTAGAGTAACGTGATCAGTCCTTTTTCGTACATTGACCGTGACCCTGCAGCGGAAGAATTAGTTTCCCCACCTCGCCCCCAGCGCCCGTAGCTCGCCCCATCTTTGAGGATAGTACTCTATTCATCCCCTTACTCTAAAGGACCTGGAAAAAAAAATTTGAAAAAATTAGCCTGAATAAACGTCTGCTATTGGCCGGAGTTTGACAGAAACCAGCTCTATTATGCAGCGCCGCACTTTGTCAAGACGTGGCCATCATTCTTTTCTTTCCTTCTTCTGCTTCTGACGAATGTGAGACATGTCCCGGAGGTTTGGTGGTGGTGCCATAGGGTGGGAAAATCAGGAACAAGGAAGATGCTGGATGATGGAAGCTACTTCTTTCGTGATCGTTGTGATATGCTCTCTAATGGCATCGCTGTAAGGATTACTACTCTATCCATGGTAACAGTTGGAGGGGAGAGATGAAGGTCAGGAAGCTTCGTGGACTCTTCGTGGACTCTTCGCTTTTTTTTTTGTTTCGGGGCTCAATCCCTCCCCGGTCTAGGCCAAATTAAAATGTGGGATGTGCTTAATCTGTGGGTTGTTAGATAGCGTCGTCTTAACATTGGAAAGTGTTAGATGTGAGCTCTCACTCATTTTTCTTTCCTGTCGAATTTAGATACCAAATAAGCTGCTAAGAACAACAGTAGGCTAGGAGGCAAGAACTACATATGCTCTCTGTTAAAGCCACCAATCAATATAGGCAATGGTAACACATTTATTATTATATTTGCACGAACTCAGTTCAAGTGATAGAGATGTGATATAGCCCCCTATCAAGGGCCTGCAAACAGTAGGTAGCAAGAGCAAGGTTCATTGAGAGGAAGGGCGCTAATATTCCCAGAGCACCGGAAGGTGGAAGAGTTCCTTTCCTTTAGGACTCTTTATTCTGTTCCTCGGAGGCATATGCACCGGTGGCGCTCAAAAATACTTGTCTACTCTGGTAGAGTAGGTACTCATTGTAGATTACTGTGCACATACATGTATGTACGTATGTGCGGACGTATTTCTCTACTTTATTGATGCATGCGTGTCATGCAGATTTATATTCAGAGACATCCACAATGAAAAAGGAGTTAAGCTTGTGCAAAGACCTAAAATATTGGCAGAAACGCGTATGTACAGGCCTAATTTGAGGTTATCGATATTTAGGCAAACCGCACTTTATGTAAAACTGCCGTTTGGTAAAGCACACACTCCAGAACCGGGACTTTCCATGGAACATACACATCACAGGTTTCAGCCTCACCCGTTGATTGTGAATAACGTGACATGATCACCTGGGAGGCCTTGGGAGTTGGATCTCTGTAACTCAGTAAATATTTGTCCACTTCCAACTTGTTCAGTTATGAGATTTTATGCCAGGACTAACTGCCGTCGTTTTGTACAACTCCATTATTTTTTAACGTTGCATATCCTTGTACCTAGAGTAGGTAGAGTACCTACAAATGTGCAACGGCCCATCACAGGTGGCTGCAGGCGGTCGTATGTGTTTTTCTTTCTTTCTTGGAAGAGGTGCCGGCACGGCCGTGCTTTGGTAAGTACCGTCGGTCTGTACTCGAACTCTTGGACGTACGACTTCTAGTCTAAGCTGGGGAGGTACTGTTGTCTATGTACTCGCCGCCAGCCGTGACGTGGATAAGAGGGAACAACTAAAGGCGAGAACTCCTTAAAAAATTATTCCCGAGTGAATTTAATGGCATCGAGAGGCGTCTGTGGTATTTTGCTTGGCAGCAATTGAACTTGAATTTCCTTCCTAATGAATATCAAGTTCATGGCTTCTCTAGAGAGGTCACACTACCAGCGGTTGAAGGCTTTTCCATGTTCAATTTTTAATTGCCCGAACGAGCAGTTTGTTGCAGGTGGCAAACAAGGTCATGGTCCCTGGATTTAGACTCTTGCCCTTGCATATTAGACATTGGCGGCTCTGCTAGTACCCCTTCTTCTATCAATTGCCTGTGTAAAAAGCGTTACGTTTGAATGAAGAATAGCATGCCACCAGGATTCAGAACTCGGATTGTATCCCAGATATCCTTTCATTTCGGACGTTTCCAGGTTATTGTATGTAACGGGGTGACGATGATAAGTAATAATTCTCGCTGCCGCAAGGACGAGCGGAGATTTAAAGCCGTGCGTGATAATATATATCACAACATTAATTGAATCGGGGTAACGAGCGGTGAGCGCCAGATATCGTGCTTTTTGACCCGCGGCCACGACCACGGGTACGAGGTTATTGTCCGTAACATTCTTTACCACTGGTATAGGGTTACTATAATATACCCCTAACTATATTGGTAGAGATTGCAACAAGAGAAACCCTTGACCATTTTACTTGTTAGCCCATTTGACCCTGACTCCGAGCAAGGTGGCCAGTTTATCTTCTGTAACGTCAAGGGCCGACCTATGTAGTTGTAGTTATGAAATCTAGTCAAACCAAAATTCCGAGGTTTTTTTCTTTCTGCTTCTCGGGTAAATTTTTTGAGGCATTGAATGGATCTTGGCTGCCTCGGAGGAGTTGGAAATCCTGCAGATAGCAGTAGAGAGCGGCGTTATCGTACCCTAAGCCCCATAAGAAAACCGTTAATTTTCGTGGTTTGGCCGGGCCAATCAACCCGAAACGGGAGCAAGGGCCAAGTTTGTAGCTCTGCACTGACATCTGGGCGATTGACTTTTTTTTTTTTTTTTTTTATTTCCAGAAATCACCACTGAAGGAGTATCAAGGGACGCGTCTGGCCGAGTGAAGGAGGGAAGCAAGGAACCACAAGGAAGCAAAGAGGCTACGCACTTTCAGGAACACGCACATCCGCACGATATTCGAGGCCGATCAACATCTAGGGGGGGCTGGTGGATAAAGTAGGAAATCGTCAGAGGGAAGGAGACAGAGAGGGAGAGAGGGGACGTACACGGGAGTGGAGGTACGCTTCCTCAAGTTTTCAGGTGCGGGAAACAAATCAGAACAACCGAGAAACAAAAAAACGCTTCTGCCGGTGTTAGTGCCCCCCCCCCCCCCCTCTCACGCTCAGACCGTTCTTTGCTCAGTTACAACTTGCAAGACTGAAGATCCATTTCGCATTCTCACTCGCCTGTGTATAATACAGCTTAGTACATCTATCTTACAGCTTACGGGAGAGAGGAAAGGACACGGGCTTTCTCGTGAAGAATAACGTATAATACTATTCTCTATATCAAGAAGAGAGATACCGTACATAGTAGGTTAGTTATCTCATCTATTATCCATCTATCCCCCTCCATCCATATCTCCCCCAATATCCTATCTCATCCACTACTCCCGGGAGTAGCCGCGAAAAGAAGTAGGTCAAATCATTCTCTGTGAATAGATCATTCTAGCAAGGGGTTGTCTGGTTGAGAGTGGAAGGGATAATAGTGGAAAATACACCTTCTTTTGCAGTGCAGTCTGTTACACTTCAGGTTCACTCAGCAGGAATAAAAACTGAAAAGAAGAGGGGGGAAATAGGAGGGAGATTTTTTTTAAAAAAAAGAAAATCCCCCAGAATAATCCATCTGACAATTTTCCTTTTTTCCCCCTTCAAAGGCAGCAGAAATAAAGAGAGAGAGAGAGAGAGAAAAATAACAGTCTACTCCTACTCTGGTTGAATTAGAAACCCGCGCGACGTTTACCATACCAAGATCCAAACTGCGGAAGATTTCCGGAGTTCCCAGACACCCACCTGCTGTCATCACAGGCCGCCCTGTGTGCGAGCACAGACCTGCAGCCCACCACCCAGCGGGTTAACCCAATTTCTGGCGAACCGGCACCGACGAGGCCTGCTACCCGATCGTGTAATTGGTCCTGTTAACTCACTCAGTCGGGTCCCGACAGCAGTTTTCCAGCGGCGGCGGCGAGGTCGCCCTTACTACGTTCCGTATAGACCGTTCCCGTACCCAGTTGGGCGAGATTCTGGAAAGCTACCAGGGAGGGAAGAAGGGGGGGGAAATGGAAATGGCTGATTCATATGCGGCTCTCCTGGGGGTGGGATCTCCTACTGCCGCAGCGCTGGCGGCGGAGTCTGGAAGGTGTGTGGAAGATTTATTTCTCTATTTATTTGTTGTCTTGATTCGACCGTTCATTCGTGCCTTACCGTGAGGGGCTCTGCTTGCTTGCTGCTGCTGCATGGGGAGGATCAAAGTGAGAGGAGAGGTGCGGAGGTCATCAAAGAAACATCACTACAACCACTATACAAACACCGCTGTGATTCTGAATCGTGAACATGGCTCGGGACCCGGACGTCTTTCGCCCAACACTGGCGACTATCCCGTCAACCTCCTGCACCTACGTATTCGAAGATGGTGGATTCAGCAGCGGCGGATTCAGCAGTAGCACCATGAGCCCCATTTCACCAGTCGACACACCTCCTTCGACACCTACCAGCATTGCCAATTCCTCATCGTTCTCCTCCTCACATAATGGCAGCAAGACTATGAAAAAAAGGTTCTCGGATTCGATTACTGACATGTTTGCTCTTTCGCTGCACAGACGTCGACCTTCATTACAACAGGGCCCTACGATACCCCCAACTAGAACCACCAACAATGCAGGAAGCAGCTCGAAGTCCAGAAATCGGTCTTCCTCTGCTACTGCAGCTGGAACGAGCTACCTACGCAACACAACAACTCCGACACTCAACTCATCACCTTCGATGGCCACGATAGCGTCGACAAGTTCTACGAGCAGCAGCTATAGAGGGGGATTGTCGAGGCGGGACTCAGTTACAGACGTGGCTCGGATCTTCCCGCAGCCACCAACGGGAGTGGGTGTGACGAGGGAAAATCCTATTGGAGACTCGCCGACAGCTTCACCAGAACCCATCAAAACAATGGCCAGCAGAAAGATAATGTCGACAGAACAATTGAGAGAGGATGACGAGTATCACGGTGGATTTGACATGGAAGATTGGGATACCTCTAGCTTCGAGGATGGGAATCTTGCTGCACAAAAAGCTGCTGCAGACGTTGGAATGAGGAGGATGACTACAGGCATCACGCGGAAGATATCAGACTCGAAAAGAATTCGGCCACCATCACCTAGTGATGCCGAAGAGGAAGTTGGAGGAAGTAACTCGTTAGCCGAAGCTTTTGATGATAAGGGTTCGCTAGGGAAACAGAGGGACCAACTAGTGATCCCCCCAGGATCTGTGGGGAGCGATAAGCGGGAATTTACAACATCAGCTTCTGCTTCAACAATACAGGGATACACATCCTCCTCTGATGAGGAATCGGCTGCATCCTCAGTCAGATCTCACAGGTCTATAGGATCCAGATCCCGTAGTTCAACATCTGGGGCGTCATCCAAAGCTGGCCTGCCCCAGAACATGTCATTTACTCATTCGAAAAAGCGAGGGTCTAAATCACACAATGCGCCCCCACCATTAAATCTAGAGGCGCAAACCGACGATCGGGCATCGGGTTCGAGTACGTCTGCGGTATTCATGCTTGACAGCAGACGGCCCACTTCAAGGCCACCGACTGCCCCACCTGCTCGGTCAGCCACCGCTTCTCCGTCAAAGTCGATCAACGCGTCGATCAGACATAAGCAGAGTGGTGGGCTTGAGGTACCTGGAATAATCACAAGTCCTGGATCACCAGGATCACGATTGTCATCATTGGCTAGTTCTGCTGCCACTCAGGGGCCTAAATCTCGATCAATATCTGCAACGGCCTTAAACTTAATCTCACGCTCTGATAGTAGCTCTTCAACTGCCACAACACCCCACACAGCAAGGCTGAATCCTGCCACATCTACAACACCCGCAGGCCGGACTCAAAAGTATCTTACCCAAAGAGACCGACAGGGATCGTCAAAGGTTTCATTGTCCTCCTATGCAGCGCAGGCAGCCAAGAGCAAGGCTAAGGGGCAACCAATACTCGAACCCCCATTACCAGATCCAAAAAATGCACCATCAGTGGCGCCAGCACCCGCCAGTGGTATGTATTGGTACAAGGCCGTGACTCACGGGCGAGAGAATGTACCCGTTAGAGCTCACACTTGCACACTTGTGAATAATAATATTTATGTTTTTGGGGGCTGTGATGTCGGAACATGTTTCAACGATTTGCACGTCTTTGACGCAGGTAAGGGTTATATTACGGCCAGTTTAAAGTTGGTGATAATAACATGAATTTGGGGTGTAGATTCAATGTCATGGTCCAAACCAATTGTTTCTGGGGATATTCCACCGCCTCTCCGGGCAATGACGTGCACTGCTGTCGGAAGAAAGCTCGTGATATTCGGAGGTGGTGACGGGCCAACGTATTACAACGATATATATGTTTTTGATACTATTACAAACAAATACACACGTCCAAAACTTCGTGAGGGAACAGCAGTACCCTCAATGAGAAGGGCCCACACGGCTTGTTTGTACCGATATGGAATTTACGTATTCGGCGGTGGGGATGGTGTCAAGGCATTGAATGATGTATGGAGGCTTGATGTATCGGATCTCAGCAAGCCATCATGGCGAAGCATCTCACCATCCCAGCCGCTATCGCGCGTTGGGTCATCATCGACATCATTGGTAGACCATCCGGATCGCCAGGCAAGGCCAACGGCCCGAGGTTATCACACCGCCAACATGGTTGGCTCAAAGCTCATCGTCTATGGCGGGAGCGATGGAGACGAATGCTTCAGTGATGTCTGGGTATTCGATGTAGAAACAAGCATATGGCGCAATGTTGGTATTCCACTCAGCTTCCCCAGGCTGAGCCATACCGCCACGATTGTTGGCAGTTATCTGTTTGTTGTCGGCGGACATGACGGTGTCGAGTACTCGAGCGAGGTTCTGCTGCTTAATCTTGGTGAGTTTGATCTTTACTCTAAGAAGCCGATCCATGGGACTGATGTGTGGCGACCGAAAGTGACTATGCAGTGGGATAAGAGAAAGGTCTATGGACAGCCGCCAACTGGTAGAGGCTACCATGGCACAGTTTTGAACGATTCAAGACTATTCGTGATTGGTGGTTTTGATGGGTTTGTGCTGCATCTTTTCTGTTTGAGTGGAACATTGTATTAACCGGATTCATTAGACATGATGTGTTCAATGACACTTATATCCTCGAGCTTGCCGTTAGCAGTTATTACTCGCAAATCTCGCACTTTTCCATCGAGGTATGATCGAGGTTATGGGGCTTACGAATAACTCTGGAAATTAGCATATATTATTACGATTTAAACCGTGGTACAGTATATTGGGGTGGTTAACATGTTTTTTGATTTTTTTGATTTTATTTGATTTCGATTCTTAATGTCCTGTCACGAGCTGCCTGGAGCTTTCTTGGGGTTGGACGATGGAGTGAGCGTCTCTTTTCTCTTTCTTTTTATTTTGATGCTTTGCTTTTTTTTATATTCTTCTTTTCCTTTTATATATCTTTCTTTCTTTTTATGTTCCGACGGATTGAGGACAAGGGGAGTTGTTTTCTGGGACGGCGAAACTTGAACGACAGGCAGACAGGAGTAATTCTATAGGCCAATGATGAGGTGGGAGGAAATACCTAAAAGGAATGTGAATGTGGGAAGAGGTGGCAATGATACCTTTGGTGGGGCGTGCGTGGGCTTTTGGGCTTGGCTTGTTTATTTATTCTTCTTGTTGTGGGGTGTTTTGAATATTTTTTTATTTTCTTGATGGGGGGCGCAAAACCAATTTTATAGCTTTCATTCATTCCTATGTTTTTCTTTACCTTCATCGTTTTTGTTTATCTTGTACGCGTATGTTTTTCTTCGTTCTGTATCATGAGCCTTCTTTTTCCTTTTAATGAGTGATGGATATGTTGTTTATTTTTTGCTTTCGTTTGTTTAGACAAATTCTTCCTTTTTTTCTTCGACAGAGTTCAATACCTTACTCTATCTATTGATTGAATGTTTTACTCTGGAGTTCTTTTTGCTCATATAGAAGGCGGGGGGGAAAGTTTTGCTTATGTGTTTGTGTGTTTTTTTTCCCTTAGCTGTTCAGTTAAGACAATCAATGATAATTTGGAAATGATATGGGCAGCAAGTTTTTTCTTTTGTGTTTTGTGGGCACGTGAGGGCGGCGGCGGCAAGCTCGAGCTGAGTAATTCAAAAGCCACAAAAACAAACTTGCCCACATGCCAAAAAAGTCTTACTAGATATGTAATCCCAGTGTTCTAGAACAAAAAAATCCCAGCTGCAGAAGGGGGGGGGGGGAGGGGGGTATCTAGGATCCAGTGGAGGGGATATCCTCGATCATTCGGAGAGACCCGGCCAACAACGTACAACAGAGCGGGCGTTCTAGAAAGGAAGCAACGGCGAACGGCGGATAATCCCCGCAGAGCCTCCTGAGTGTCAGAATCTCACCACTTCAAAAATTCAAATCACGATCGTACAGGGTTTGAGGTTTGAGGTGCTCTAGCAAAAGAGGATAACAGTTCCCCGGGTTATTGGAAATACGGAGGCCTCATTGGTTGCATGCATCGGGAAGTGTTTTGCATGGAGGATATGTGCTCTTGATTTGGAATGCGGAAGTGAGTCTCTCCCACTCCCTCTTCCTTTCAAACTTCACCGCAGAGGTTTTTTTCAAGAGCTCTTTGCTTTCTCCTGGATCTCCGGAGCACCGCGGTCGGAGGGACGGAGAGAGGTGTGCAGTCGTATGTTTTTTACCCGAATGCTTCCGGTACGTCATGCCACTTTTAGTCATGATTGAAGGTTTTGGGTAAGCCGATATTTCCCCGCCAGCGTGTATTTTTGGGATTTCTCCATCTTTAAAAACGATTGAGGCCTCGTATTTGGAGCTGTCATCATATCCAGCTTTGTTATCAGTTCACTGACCGTTTATTGACGACTCTGCTTTTCGTGGTTTTCTGATTTCGAGTTTTTTTTTTGTGTGTTTTCAAATTCAAGGTTTCTTGGCGAGCGAGGGCTGTTGGCGTCATTCAGACGAAATCTTTAGCGTGCCTGCTGCCAGGGTCAACCATAAGAACACCACTTATATTCCTACCCGTCTTTTTTTTTTCCCCTTCCCTTTTTTTTTCTCGCGTCGTGAGAAATACGGTACTTTGAACACAACTTTTGCAAAAAGAATTCACCACTGAATCACTGAATTCAACATGAAGATTCTTACCAAGGAAGAAGAAGCCGGTATATATACTCTCCCACCCCACCAATGGAGCCCCACCAAAAACTAACATTCCCCGCCATACAGCCCACTACAATGCCGTCCTTCGTGGTGGTATTACCGGAGGAGTCGTCGGTACCGCTGTCGGTCTCGGAACTGCCATGGTCCTCACCAAGCGCTGGCCGTTCTTCAAGCAGCTCACCCTACCATTCAAGGCCTTCTTCGTCTCCTCCGCCGGCACCTTCGCTGCAATCATCCAGGCCGACCGCTACTCGCGTGGCTTCGAGGCGGACCGCCATTCGGAGCTCCTCCAGTACAAGGATGCGACAGCGAAAGCTCTCGAGGAGGCCCGGCGCAACAGGACCCCTACGCAGAGGGCGATGGATTGGGGGAGAGAGAATAGATACACCATTGTGACAGCGAGTTGGGTTGCGTCCATGGCGCTCAGTTTGGGGCTGGTCAGTAGGAACAAGTACTTGACGGGGCCGCAGAAGTTGGTACAGGCAAGAATGTACGCCCAGGGGTTGACCTTGTTGGTGTTGGTTGCGAGTGCTGGGTTTGAGGTGTCAGATGCGAAGAAAGGGAAGGGCAACTATGAGACTGTCAAGATCTTGGATCCGGATGACCCGTTGCACAAGCACTTGATCGAGAAGAAGATCCACCATGAGAGCTATGCGGGAGAGGATTTGTGGAAAGGTGAGTTTGGTTTAGTACTCTTGAGGGTTTGTGGACTTGTGCTGACAGAAAGTGATAGATATGGTTGAGGGTGAAGAGAGGAGGTTGCGCGCGCGCAAGGAAGCTGCTGCTGCTGCCGCCGGAGGACGGTCATAAGTATCATTTTTAATGATTTTTCTGTTTATTTGTTTCTTGTGAATAGCTTCTTTTGGTGTGGTTTCTTTTGATAGACGGTGTGTGGCTGGCTGGGTGCTTTTTCTCTTTACATTATTATCCCTTTTTTTTTTAACCCCTTCGTGCATATTTACAGTTTTCTCTTCTCTCTTTTCCATTCCCTCTATAAACTAAATGTGAAGTGAATCACGAGGATATTAGTGGTCGTGGTTGATTTCCTCCCCCTCCCGGATTTCTTCTAGATGTTTTTTTCTTTCTCTCTCAAGCTCCATTAGAGGGTGGGCCTGGGTAGGTGTGATTTAGAGTGATAGAAACTCTCACCTCAACTAAAATGTTAGATCCCATAACTTGGCAAAGAAATTGTATACGGTCCGTAAAGTATGCATACATGTAGTTACATGAAGAGTGCAATCCTTTCTCCTCCAAGCTATTTGGGTAGATATGTAGCCGTAGACTGGCCCTTTAAGGTCTAAAAAGAATGGTTAGCATTGATTGGCTCCCTTATCTTATCGTCGTTATCAATTGTTTGATATCTCTCGTCCAGCTTAGGTACTGCTGTAAAGAAGTGCGTGTTCCAATGCATTAGCCATAGCAAGCCCAAACTATTGGACGATAGAAGAGACAATGATAATTAACAGGACTACTAGAGCTTCTAGCTTTATACGGCATAATTGAGGACAGGTTTTCACGCCACCTCTTCCCCGCCATAAGTCCACAGTTGAATACTCTTATGAATTGGAGTTGACGTGAGGTGAAGGGAGCTCAATCAGCAATTGCAATCGCAAAGCTATGTTCTCGAAGTCCAAGAGAAAACGTAATTGCCATTGGTTGTACTGTTTCATCCCAGTGGCTTTGGAGTCGAGGTGTGGGAAGCTAGACCTTATTATTTTGAAATGTCACTCACGAAATGGATTCTTTGTTTTTATGAGGTGGATCAGGTATATTTATAAGTGACATATGTATTCATACTTTTTTTTTCGTGCCTGCATTAAAAGAAAGAAAGAAGAGATATCTACTATACACATCAGAGAGAGAGAGAAAGAAAAAAACAAGAAAGAGAGGAAGGAAGGAGAAGGAGTCATTATCATGCCACAATTTTTCCCACAAAAACCCACAAACCGCCAGGAAGCACCCCCTCCCTCACCCAAGCCGCTCCAACAACCTCGCCTTCCTCCTCTCCACCAAAAACTCCGTCACATCATCCAAGCTCGGCACCCTCCACCCACCGGGCACCGCATCCCACCCCGCCGGCGGCTCCCCTCCCGCACCCCTCATCGTCTTCTCCATCGCCTCGGCCTCCTTCCTACGCTCATACGCCAGCAGCACGCCGTCCTCCTCGTCGCGGTTGAAGCCATAGTACTCGGCATCGACATTCCTCCGCATCTCGCCCCGCGCGCGCTTCTCGTCGTCCTTCTTCCCCGTCTTCTTGGGCTGCAGCTCCTCAAACAGCTCCTTGACGCCCGGCAGCTCCCGCGCCCGCCCAAAGTACTTGTACCCCCGGGAGCCGGGCACGGCGCGCCCGTCCTCGTCGTAGGCCTTAGGCCCGAAGCGCATGTAGTTTGGCCCGCCGAGGTTGCGGAGCTGCACCTCCCACATGTGTTTCTCGCGCATGAGCTTGTTGATCTCGTCATTGAGGTCGCGGATCTGGTAGTCGGAGAGACTGGCTATATGGCTCACGGTTATTGTTAGGCGCGCGAGGCTAATTTACGCAGGAAGGGGCGAGGATAAAAAAAAAACGTACGATCTTGGATTTTGGTCACTTTTCGTGAAATGTCCTTCACAACTTGGCCACGCCATTTCTCGCAGGAGGGGATCGAGTTCACTTCTGTGATCACTTTGGGCCGGCGGGTTCGCCCCGCGTCGATGATTCCGAGATCGGCGGCTTGTTGCTCGCGGAAGCGGAAGAGCATGGACTGCGCTTTTTCACTGTTGCGCGCCTGGGAGACATGTTAGCCGTGAATTGGGCAGCTGGGGGGGGGGCTACCTACCATTTTTGAAGTTTTGAGGGGTTTAGGAGGGGCTTAGAGCGGGTATTTGAGGTGGTGATAAATTGTGGTGGTGGGTGGGAGATAGACGTGAGGTGAGGTGAGGTGTTGTTGGTCTACGCTTTGTGGTGGTGAGGCTCTTGTGGCTCGCTTGGGGCGTAATGTAGATGGGGACCCCTGCCTGCTGTGGAACCTGGAAACACTTCTACTGTTTCTTCTTCTTTTTGGGAATAGCTGCTTTTTCGGGCGTCTACTCCAGGGTCTAGGTACTATCTACAGAGTATAATACTAATTGCGGACAGAGACAAAGACATGCAAGGAGATTTGTTGTTTTACATAGCAGAGATTTGAAACTAGTATATATTAACATTACACATTTCAATTTAATCAACCTGCTAAGCACTCCCTCCGGCTGCCTTTGCATTCCTGAAAGCTCCCATGGTATGCTCCCACACCGCACTCATCTTCTCCTCTGAGAACCAGTCCCCGGACCTACTCATCCATCCCTTTGATCCCGTTCTTGTGTCTGCACTTTCACCTTTCCAATCCACCAACCACAAGCCCTTTCTAAACTTCTCATCCGTCCCCAACCACGCAAACCCTTGTCCACAATCGTCAATTGGGACCGAGAAACACTTCATGAGGGGTGACGCGACAGTAGTCAGTACCCTCAACGGTGTTGGCAGCTCCCGGGCTATTCCAGTCATTACAATGCCCGGGATCGCGTGGATAAATCCGATTCCGGGATTCTGCTTGGAGAGATGCTCGAACGCGAGAGAGGTCATGGTCACTGTGTGGAGCTCACAGTTTGAGAGTGTGAAATTGCCGGGTTTTGCAAGACCAAGATCGTCCATGATAAGAGGGCCTTCGCGGCTGGTTCCGAGAACACTGATGATACGAGCAGATTCCGAAGCTTCGGAGGCAGTCTTGAGGAGTGGGAGGAGGTTCGTGGCGAACTTTAGACGGCAGTAGTAAGAAACGGTCATTTTGCGGTCGAGGCCTTCAGGAGTTTCTTCGCGGCCGGCCATGCTCATGTAGCCGGGTGACATAAAGAGGAGATTTAATTTCTTCTCTTTTGCAGCGATTTGGGAGCTGATATTGTCAACATTTGAGAGCAGAGTTGTGTCGGCCTGAAAAAACTGGATTTTGGAGTCGGGGTTGAGCTTTTGGAGCTCGGTGGTGATTTTTTCTCCAGCAGATTCGGATCTGGGGACATTAGTCGGGATTCTAGATTGGTGAGTGGATATAATGTACTAACCGTCCTACGAAGTAGACCGTAGGTGCTACCGTTGATGACACAAATGTCTTCATGGCAGTTTCACCAATTCCGGCTGTTGCGCCAACTACATTGAAAAGGCTATCAGTACGATATAGCTAGCTAGCTATCGGGTGTAGAAACTTACCAAACACAGCCACTAAGCCCTTCGCACCCGGCGTGCTTGAAAAAGCAGCATTCGTAGACCTTATCGAAGCTATTCCGACCATATTTCTTTCTTTGTTGATCTGTATAATTGTAAAAGTCTGACCGATAATTTAGCTTGTACTTCTTCCAGAGGTTGAACGCAACAATGAAGGTATATATCCTGGTCCCGGATTTTAGCACACAGTCAGACCACGTTTAATTCCGCCCGCATCCTTGTGTAACAGAAGCCCCAACCGTACAGAAGCTTGAGCTGCTCGGTCTTCTACAGGCAGGTCTTGGCACGGATGAATGATTCCTCCATGGGATGTGATTCGAACCGAGACAGCATCTTCCATGTCTGAGTGGGAGAGTAAGATATGACGTATGCATTTTTATGCTCATATCCAGGCGGATAGATGAGACACATTATTTGACATAGACTCACCCCTACCAGAACAGTTGCCATAACAACAAGAAGATCAACCTTATAATTGGCTTCTATACCCCTCCTCAACAAATGTTTATTTGAAGAATGATCGTGATATCATGACTCGAACATGTTAGCCCAAAAACCAATACATGTGGTTGCTGGTGCCAAGCCTTGGTCGTTTGCTCATTCCCGAGTGATAATACATGAACCAGGGTCAAGTCACATTCTTTTTATTATCTGAAGAATCAATATCAATATGCCGTAAAGGCCAAGCTATGTACCTGCATGTACCTATAATGCCCAAGGCTGTGGTAATGGGGGGTTTTTTTTTTTTTAGCTAGCCCGTTTTTCCGAATTCATCATGGGACCTGAGGACCATGGGTCGATGCCTGCGTGCTGTGTCTCCAAGATAATAGTAGGGCCATAACGGGAATTTGTAACCATGTGTATGTAGTATCTCGTGTCTTAAGATTTAGGACACTGTTCCAAATCGAAGTTGACAGCCGTTGCCAACACTGTACCCCGCGAATGACAAGGTTCCCAGCGCTCCCAGAATGTAGGCCACTTTGGAATTATGGGCCGGCATATTCAATGAGCTCATACATATCATATTTGCTTCTCAGAAGGTGCCGTTTTTGGGAGACCGGCGATGCACCTGTGCTTCTGCCGTAGATAAGCAAAACATGTTGCTTCAATGTATGTATTTATATATAGCTGAGGATTATCCAGTGAAGGTTCCAATGTAGACTTAAGCAGCCTGTAGGAATCAGTGACGGCTGATATCGATCTCTATCACCGCAAACACCTCTTTTCGTTTTTCCTTCCTGGGGGATTGTGATGGCTTGGGTAGATAACGAGTGAATGGTACATAGATGTTTACACCTCCACTCGAGTTCACCCCTCACTCAATGATTTCACTATGACCAACAAAGAGGCGGTATAAAAAAGGGCCATATGCATATAGTTTATATCCATCCACCTTAGCGGTTTAAGTGAGGGGTTATCCAAGCGAAGGGCGAAAACATCTCTCAGATGGTTTAGTCCAACCTATCTCAGGCACCAAATTATGACCGCTCTTCAGCCCGTCGTTCTTCGGTTTGATGTCGGTGAGGGGCTGAGCCATAAGCGAATGCCTTTGGTGGCGATGGCGAGGCATTAACGAGAGGGGGTTTTCTGAAAAGGCAGTGGAGAGGGATAGAAGCTCGCACGAATCGGGTGAATTCCTGGAGACCAAGTCAGCTCATTGGTAAATGGACGGATAGCATTCGGGATTTGCCTTTGGTGGAGTGATCTGGTGACGGGGATAAGTGGCTTTAGACAATTTGGAAACCTCGGAGCAACAACGGTGTTCTATCCGCCGGAACAACATCTCAATAATCTGGGCAGATCGGCCCGTGCCGCCCCAAGAATGCCGAGGCATGGATATTTGGCACCGTTATATAAAGGACGTTTTGCCAGGAAAGCATGCAATTGGCTACTCTGTTAGGTAAATAGAATTGTTCATTGCCTCTAAAGGGTTTCTCTCTGCCTCTCTCTCGCTTGTGTCATTTCATTTATGCATAAACCGGGCCGACCCGAGTGAGCCCCAGTGACCGAGTGATGGGTGTTTAATTCCCTCCCTAACCAAAAAAGCCAAACCCACCCGGTTTAACATAAGCGAGCCTTGGCAGAAACATGGCGACAACATGCGATGCACAACGCATGGCGCCTTACAGTTACCAGTAACAAATTTTTTCAGGTAGCCGCCTAACTAATGATATTGTAATCCATACCGAAGAACAACACATGGCAAAGGAAGGGCTGCATGAGGAATTCCTAGACGTCGAATAAGTATGGAGAGTTACATGTGCGTATGTGTATCGTCTGGTATTTGACAGGAACACGAACAATGAGCCTCATGCTCCCAAGGAAACAAACCCCGGCTTTACCCTTATACTACCAAGTAGCTATGGGTACATACCCATCCTTGGAATCATAATTCCGGACAGTCCATCCAACCAGCCAGTAGACTTCGTTGCCTAGACTCCCCACGCAACATCCACCATGCAAAGATCAAGCAGCTAGGGGAACCGTGAGTTGATTGTACGGAAGACGCGAGTACACATACGTGGGCGCTGAACCGGCAAGGCCCTGCAGAAAGAAAAAGCCTCCCCAGTATGTACTCTACTATGCTCTACGTACATAAATGACATACTATACCTACATGTACCTGCTCTACAGAGATTACTTAGCTACACCCACATGCCTAGGTATCCGAATCCTCAACCCCTCCCTTCCTCCGGTAAATACTGTACTGGCTATCACCTACATACATACCTGCAATCATCCCCATTCCTCGCGAGTTCGACCCGGTCGCTGGCTGCTGGCTGGCTCACTCGGATTCCAGAAGTACGAAGTCTGCATACATTAAATACGTACCCCGGAAACTGGTCATAGAGTACCTACATACGTATATAGGTGTGAATTCATTCGGTAAGTCACCCCAAGATTCTTCGTGCCTGGTGGGTGATTCGATAAGGCTGAAAACAAGGTGCATCCTACCCATAAATAGCTGCCCTTGGAGAAAAAGGGAACGGAAAAAAAGAAAAGGATCTGCACTTTTTAAAGGCCACCGTTTATAAAAACTACCCCTTCATCCCCATCTCAACCATCTCTTCTCCGGTAATCAAAAAGAAAAAAAAAATCGACCACAATATCGTCATGAACATCCCTCAAGAAATCATCGATCAGATAGTATCGTACCTCCCCGACCAGGTCAGCTATGTGAGGGCGGCGTTGGTCAATAAGGCCTGGAATTACGCTGCAACCTCAATGCTGTACCGCCATATCGGCATGGAGTTCATGCCCCGAAATTCTAACTATGAGGATATGGAGCACCGGGGGATGTACAATGTTTGTTTGGCACTGGCAAAGTATGTTGCTCTCTTGTGTACCCTCTATAGTCAACTACATGTAGCTTGCAGAAGCTGAATTTTTCCTCAATTGCTCTTCAAGGAACCCTTATACCAGTTCAGTGGTCCAATCACTTCTATTGTACTTCCACCAGCCCCAAACCAACACGACACAACAGCAGGAATGGGAACCTTCATTAGCACAAGTTCGGTCACTTTTGAAAGAAGTCATTGACCGCAACGGGCTTCCTCGGGTCAGAAAACTGTCACTTTTGTACCCTGATGTGCAAATCGCCCATATCCTTCTGAAAGGACTGTTGCCGCAAATACACAGCTTGCAAGTCGTCTCACCAGTCTTTAAATACTTGTATTTTGAGTCCGAGGAGCCAACAGTGATCAGCAACCTCCAGGAGTTAGATTTCCAGTTTACTCAGGACATCTCTCGACGGGGGGGAGGTTTTCTGTTTTCCAGTGAGCAACTAGCACTTAACCAAGAGTGGAAAATGATGGAAGACAAAATGCATGACCGAGTCAACGGTTTTTTGTCTCGATGCCCATCGCTCCAAGTTTTGAAAATAACCGGAACGAAAGAGCTTCACACATTACTTCAATCAGCCCATTTTCCATCGCTGAAAACCCTTGAAATTGGCCAAGTTTTCAGTCATCAGGTCGACTTTGCGGTAATCTGCCTGAATTCATTCCTTGAACGCCATCCAACCATCACACGGTTGGCAGTCAATAGATTGCCTGATGGCTCTTCACATCCCTTTATCCTCCCGAAGGAATCAGCCCTCAATATCCGGGAGTTCATATCCTGCATCGAGGAGATTCCATCAGATTATCTCGGTTTTATCAGACAATTCCAACAGCTAGAGACATTCAGACTCGAGCACCATATGATAGTAGGATCAATCTCACACAGAGAGATTCTTGAATTGCTGCCCGAGCTGCAACACCACAAGCAGGGAATAAAGAACTTGACACTGCCAATGCCAACACACATATCGGGCTGGACGCTAACAGACGCGAAGCGGGCACTGGCAAGATCTTCACTAACACAGTTTGGCATAGTATTCGCGCGAAGCGTCCCGGCAGTTGAGAAGTTTGGAATCAGTCAGATTGGGCGGTTTGATATGGAAGCAGTACGCGCATCTCTCCTTCCCGGATATTATTTGCATGTGCAGTATTAACATGACACCGGGTAATAGTCGGAATGGGCACAGGCACTTTCTTTCCACAACTCCCTTCGACACTTTGCCATCAAAACGTCGTTCCTACCTACCATATCTGTTCACGAACCGGCGAGCTACAGACAAGGTCTCATCAACGACATAGCGCGATCCTTCTCCGCGGTACCAAAACTTGAGACCGTGGTATTCTTTGAATCCCTAAATCAACAGGCGGTCAAAGTCACAATCCAGAGACTCGATCACGATGTCGTGGAAGGTATCGAGGAACTGATAAGTGTCGAAGATGTGAATGAGGAGTTTTTTGACGAATTCTTCGACTCAGGATGGTGATTATGGAATTCCGGCCAGCCCTTTTTTTTGTTGGGGTGCAGTGATTTTCTAGGAAGGGAAAGGTTGAGGGGGGAAATAAGCAATTATTTTTGGTTATCTACATGTGGCTATGTACTCATGCGTATGTTGTTGTCGTGCTTGTCTGTGCTGTATCTGACCATACCGGTATGTACCGTACACGTAATATTTTTCTTGGGATAGAAAGGTAAAGATTTTCTAGTCATGTTCAAACCAGCCCCTAGTATTAGAAATATGTTAGGCCTAGGCCGGGCGGTCATTTTATGGGATCTTCTCATGCTTATGCACGTAACCACTCTAGTTACCGCTTCACGACCTATCACTCGTGGAGCTAGTGAAAGCGAATGGAATCTGGAAATGATAACCGAATCTTATCTTTCTGTACCCACGTGGCTAACACGCTATTCCGTATTGCCAAGCTGAATCCCCAGCTTGTTACGTTATATATATTCAGAGATCTATCTTGCTAAGGGATTTGCGTTCGGTATTACCATCGGGGCTAGGGCAGTTAACAGAACGACGCGTGGGGAAGATGTTGTGGGGAACTTTGAAGAAAATCTTGAATAATAGGGGTGAAGAGGCTAGTAGAAGACATAGTCGAATCTACCCTGAATGAGGCCCTGGAGCACCTCAACCCGCGCCCATTCTATCTATCAGGCCAAGCGCACTATTCCATCAACATAATTGACCGTAATCTTCACCTTTTGACATGTGATCCGAATCATACTTCCGTCCTGAAAACACGCTAATGGTCAACTTTGACGTCGTCTGTTCACATGCTGCCCGAGCATGGATTTGAGATATATTCTGGTTCCCTAGTGGGGCTATCAGTCTTGAAAAGTTTTCTTCGAGGATACATACCGCATGGTGACTCTCCGCGTGGTGACCCCCTATAATAGTCGTTCTACTGAGAGTGATATTGGAAGTAGTATTATCTCGATTCTTCAGAGAACTAACTGCGTTGTCTATATTGTCGTCTATCTTTTGGACGGTAGGATTAACATGTTGATTCCCCTGCCTGAGAATGGAGAGAGGTAGTTCCTTAATTCCCTAGAACAATTTCTTATAGACACGTTCGTTGCTCTCGCCGAAACTATGAATATCTTTAGTAGTTCTTGCCATGGACTTCGCTGTAGGAGTGAAAGGCTGTTCTCAAATTCATGAAAAGAAAATCCAGTATATAGTCTTCTAGCTCGTACATCTGGAGAGGAAGGCATTGTATCCCATATATTCGCTATCGGGGGCTGGCTAGCTTGGATAATATACGTACGTTATCAGAAGTAGAGTACGTACTGGATCAAGGAGACTCAGGAGTGAGAGCTGGCTTGTACTACAAGGTTGAAAGCCATATCTGTCCTGGGTTGGTAAGCATCTATCTCTAGTCGCACAAACATTCAAATCGAAACCAGTCTTCCGCGTACAGCCAGGAACAAGTGTGCCTGAAAGGCTACGTGGAATCGTCCAGAAAATTAAACAAAACAAAACAAAACAAAAAAAAACATCCAGAAACGGTTTAGGGAATTAGGCTATCGTCGTCATTGGGCTTTTGGATGATTTGAATCTTTGCGTAGGTATAAAAGCACAACTAAGGATTAGTTTGAGTTTCTTTGTTGGGGGATAAATGCGACTTATAGATCTCTTAATTGGTTCGCGATCGTAAGTGTATATGAATTAGAGTTGATTACTTACCTCGGCATGCCGTTGAGTGTTTTGCCGAGGAATCAGTAATACAGAAATAAGCTTAAGTTAGGGTCTTGGCGAGAAATGATCACTAAACAACCGTTTGATATCAACAGCTACAATACTTGATTAGAATTTGAGTATCAAGTAGTCATAGGGGAGGAGGGCGTATGATATGAGATCAAATATTTATATAGATTATGAGCGGTGCTCCGTTTGAAAGACCCAATTTTCCCAGACTTCATCAGCAGTGATTTCGAGTTACAGCTAGCTAGGTTTTGGTGTTTAAATTTACCTTTTCGACGGTTTATTTACTTCAAAATGTCGCAATTACCTCACGTATTGAGCAGTCAAGACGAAAGTTTAGATCTCGAAAAGGTCTCCACAGCCCACAAAGAAGAACTAAACACCAAAGAACCCCATTCCCAGGCCAATTCCTTAGACTGGGATGGCCCCGAAGACACCGACAACCCAAAGACATGGAGTCTCAAAAAGCGTATCTTCCACAGTGTCATTCCCGGTCTCTTTAATTTTGTTGTGTAAGACAAATTGGTCCCTCCCGTGAATCTGTGTAGCTACAAAAGCTCAACCCTAACACACCCATGCCTACACCCTAGATCTCTCGGAACCTCAATATACACTCCGGGCGTCCCCCAAATTAGCAAAGATTTCCACGTGACGCCCACAGTAGCCCTGCTGGGTCTTTCTGTGTACTCACTTGGTCTTGGCCTCGGCCCGATCATTGGTGCTCCGATATCAGAGACGCAAGGCCGGAAGGCGGTGTATGTGTTGACGCTCCCGTTGTCACTACTTTTCACCCTCGGCGCCGGGCTGGCACAGAATTTCGAGACATTACTGGTGTGTAGGTTCTTGTCTGGGGCATTTGGAAGCCCGGCTTTGGCGGTTGGCGCTGGCACAATTGCGGATATATGGGTGCTTGAAGAGGGCGGTGGGTTGGCGACTGTGCTGGTTATTCTGGCACCGTTTATGGGACCGGCCTTGGGTATGTTGTGTCTTGTTGATATCTTATGATCGGGGCTGATGGTTTGAACAATATGTAGGCCCTCTTATTGGCGGTTATACGGTGCTTCACCGTTCGTGGGAATGGTTGATGTGGGCGCTCCTTATCGTCGGGCTTCCGATTTACCTCTTAACCTTCCTCACCTCCGAGACGTATAAAAAGGTCATTCTCGCCCGGCGGGCCAAGTCTCGTGGTATTCCGGTCCCACCGGGACCAACAGGTGTTCAAGCTGCTAAGGTGCTGCTCACAATTACACTCATCCGGCCGCTTCACATGCTAGTTACCGAGCCCATTGTTGGGTTCATCTCGCTCTACGCTGCCTTTTCGTTCGGCGTCCTATTCGCATTCTTTGCGTCTTTCCCATACGTCTTTGGGGCCGTGTATGGCTTTGATAGCGGTTCTGTAGGCCTTGCATTTCTAGGGCTGTTGTTTGGGCTGTTTTTGGCAGTGGGGACGTTTGCTGTGTTTGATAGGACGTGGTATGCAGCGGCGAGGGAGAAGGCCAAGTTGGAAGGAAAGGCGACGGAACCAGAACATAGATTATATGCGAGTATGGCCGGGTCTTTAGGGATCCCAATTTCACTCTTTTGGTAAGTTGTCCAGCTGGAGAGTTCTTCCCCCGAGATGTTGGTTGAACTAACGAGTTGGATAGGTTTGCCTGGTCTGCAAAGAGAGATGTGCATTGGATTGTACCAATACTTGCTGGAATCCCGTTTGGCTGGGGAAATCTTTGTCTTTTTGTAAGATCCATTGATCATCATCTTTTTTTATGGCCAGTATAATTAACAATGCTACAGCTTGGAACAACAACTTACCTTGTGGATGTGTACCACGCCCTCAACGGTGCGTCTGCAATGGCTGCCAATGGGCTTCTGAGGTATACATTTGGCGCGGTGTTTCCTCTGTTCACTGTACAAATGTATAGAGGACTTGGGATTCCATGGGCGGGAAGTCTATTAGGATTCTTCAGTCTTTTGTTGCTGCCAATTCCTTGGGTATTGTTCAGGTGGGGCGATAAAATCAGGCAGAGGAGCTCTTATCCCACTGGTCAGAATATTACTAGGTGACGAATCCATGAGAAAGCTTAGGAGTAGCTAGTGTTTTTTGGTTATTCCTTATATCTTAGATTATTTAGACTGGTATGATTGGCCCGCACATAGAGTTTCTAGAGGTATATAATTAATCAAAGAAATGGAATCTATAGTTCTGTATCTCTTATTCTTACTATACATATCTTAGAGTGTATACTGCATACGTGCTGAAAGTCACTATTGAAAGGATGTTAACTATCTGTTGGATTCAACTAAATACCTCTAAAGTATAGCTAGACTCTCGTGACTCTCTGACCGACCACGCCGCTCGCGCGATATTTCTTAACTACTCCCCGAAGACCACAGTCCGGCACACTATCACCGTTAGCTTATCGATTTACAAAGACTCTGCGCAATACTAAAGGCTTACTGAATGACTACACGGTCCATGATCAGTACTAGTATTTGAAGTGATATATGTATTGTGTATCGTTGGATATGAGATTTGCAAATTCTAGCGAGGAAAAATTAGCTTTGAAACCGTCAGACAATTGCGAATAAGGGGGGTTTCAAAATTACAATCAATGCCCCTTTTGCCTGTAAGTTTGCCATTCTGCGGCCCCTCTGGCCAGGGCCGTTTATTTCCCCACTATAGCTAGTGTAGTATGAGGTTTGATGCATGCATGTTGGTCTTACATGATGATAGGTTTGGGGCTTAAAGTTCTCAGAGATATATTCAATCAACTCTGCCGAGAAAGCCCGAAGGTCATTCAATTGACTCTAGGTGAAATAGTCAGCTTTATGGGAGTCGATATGGTAATCAATCTGTGATTTAGGACATACGTTTGTAAAGGGTTTTAATGCCGTGATCATATATTCTTTGACACCCCTCTGATTAAAAATATAAGCATTTCAGAAGTTCAAGTTGAGGAATTCAGAAGAGATACTTGGTTGAGATTTATACGAGCATATGCTTCTGGGCCAAGAAAGGAACAAATGTTCTCCTGCAGAACCTCCAACTCTATTCCTTCCGCTGGTATAGGGTAAGTGATCATATTTGGTCTTACAGGGTGAAAGGACGTGAAGTTTTGGCTCATGGTTCCAAGATTTGTATAAGTGCAAACTTTCGAAGAAACGATAATAAGGTAGGTTTAACTAACGAGAGCTGCTGTCCGCTCGAAAGCCACATAACTAACCGAAATATTATCTCTTTCTTAAAAGGCTTTTGACAACTACTTCTATACTGTGCATTTTTAGCACAATCTGTCGTCCTATTACTTTTCGTCAGCCTCGCTTTTCTCGCCTTACACGTTGTTTGTCGTTCAACTGGAAATGATCATCGTTGTTCCCGCGGATTGGACGCCTCAAGAACAACCCGAATAACCTTAGAGTACTTATGTGAGACAGGAAGGATAAACCTTGGTACCGACGTCTAGCCCATCGAAATACGCACCGGCCGATCTTACAAGACCGAGATTTCCTTGGTACGATCCTCGACATTCCATGTTGTACTCGATCGATCTAGTTAACAGTCATAAGCGCGCATATATAAACACAAATCCTGGCACATCTACAGGCATACATAAAGTATATCTCCGATAATCGACCAGGAGTTTAGTTAGGGTTTCTCGGCCCAGTGCCTTATTATTGAACCTGAAACCCGGGTGGACACATCTCAGCCCTGCGGCAGGGTTGACCTTCTCCGGGATCTTCGCGGAAAAGGTTTAGGCAACGGCCCTGATCAGTGGATACTCCACATCTATCCGTTGATGACGTACTGGCATGTTGCTATTGACCAATCTAGACGTCTCAAAGGTATCTGTGCTTGTGGGGGGGTTCTGATTGTTGCACTTCTTTACACTGCCGGCATACTTACTAGCTGTGACCCAGTCAATATACCTTTACTGCCTATTAGAAAATGTTCCGCTGCACGCCCCCACTTAAGATTGATAGTTGGTCTCACTCCGTGTGGATATGGTTACTGCACTTCAGGTCGACGAGGCATATGCACTTTGAGGCTGTGGAGTTGGAAAATGGACCCAACATTCAAAAAGTCAAAATCAGATAGAATCCTGAGCGCTGTATGTGTGCCTGGAACTACGTTCAAACAAAGATAGGTAGCAACCAACTTGAGGCGTAAGGCATAGAGAAGCTAGTGTATGAGGAGTCCAGTAAAGTTTGGGAACAGAACTTCTAGTTTTCTCGTTTTAACTTTGCCAGGCCCGTAGAAATTTGTTGGTCACATAAAGTTTGTGACCCGAAATATCATGTAGTGGCTTCGAAAGTGTACGCCCCAGCTTCATGTGTTTTGAATATCCTGACGGCCTGATTACTGGGAACAGGGAAGTAGATCTCTTCCCCGGTACGCGGTACGTACTGGTGATCCACGACCTGGTCCAATCACATCCTCTCACTCGGGCCTTCGCCCCCACAGCCTTTGCCAAGAACCCCATCCCTGACCATTACATTCTTGGAGTTAGCACGATAATGGGACAAGAATGGTGGGCCCTTCTTGCAAAGATATCCATAGTTGTAAGAGTTGGTTCAACCATCAGGTCTGGCTGGACTAGTACTGTTTGCACACGTAGCCCAGTCCCACGACAGCGGCCGTGATCCGTGCCGCAGATAAAAAAAAAAAATCCGAGGTCTAGATGTATTACACCCCGCACACTCTGATATCAATGTATGTACCATGGTGGTCTTTCAGTTTGCAGGACTTACCTTCACAGTCTATCACTCGCAGTCGATCTACTAGCTAACCAGTCTCAAACTCCCACGAGCAACAGCAGCTCAGCTCGCGCATATCTGACGAGCTCATCATGCATGGCAACCGCAGACGCAACAGGCAAGAGCCACAGCAACGAACCAACCGCCGAGACCTGTCTGTAGTGTGGGCTTGGTTGATCATGCCTACCTCCACTAGCTGTGCGGATAGGGTTTCATAGGTTGCAACGTTTAATTTCTGCTCTCATCATGAGGGACTATCCTTCAGGTCAACACTGTAAACGGATGGTGGGCTGGCCGATCTTAAGTGCAGTGTCCGGAGGGGCCTAGCCGCACGCGGAACTAGCCAGACTAGCACATGTAGCCCGCCAAAGATTAAATCTTGACAAACGAGCTACGTAGATCACGGCCGAGTGACATCCCATGACCCTCCAACAACACCCCACAGCCCCCCCAAATCTCTACTATATATTCCGCATCAACAATGCATTACGGGGGGCACTCTTTCCTCACAGCCAGCCAGCTATATCTCGAGGATCGATGCATAAATTATTTTCCACAAGCTAGATAGCTAGCTAGATAGATAGCTATATGTACCATGTATGATACTCTCTCCCCTTTCTTCTAGATCTTCTGGTAAAGTAGAGAGGAGTATATAGAGCGGAACAGAACATCACAAAACATCACAGAACATCACATCACATCACATCACATCACAAACAGAACGCACCAATATGATACCCACAACCGCAGCAAAAAATACTCTAAGCAGCTACAAGTATATTCTAAATCTCTACCCCCACAACACCACACACCGGCCTCCCCTCATTCCCTCCTCCCCGACCCCTCGAACTTAGGACCATTCAGCCACAATATAGAAACCAACCTAAGCGTCACTATGATTACCACCCAATAAAGAGCAGAAAACAGAAGAGAAGAGAAGAGAAGAGTAGAGAAAAGAAAAGAAGAAAAGGTAAAAGGAAAAAAAAAAGGGAGCCAGGTGGCCAAGAAAAAGAACCAAAAAAAAACAAAAACAAGCCGCCAATGAAAACAAAAACGAAACAACCAGCAAAGTAGCCAAACACAAACACATGCATACAAAAACGCAGATGCAATATTTTCAATTCCCATTCCCACGGCCATCCCCCCCGTTCCCACTCCCCATCCCCATCGTCTCCCATCACCTCGTGGATCCCACAAACTCACAAACTCACAAGCTACATGCAGATAAGACTATACTACCGCTATGCCAGGACTCCCAGGGGGGCCGGTGGGGGGGAGTGGGTAAAAGGAGAAAATCACAACACAAGAAAGAAGAAGAAGAAGAAAGAAGGAACTTAAGGATAAAACGCCCAATTAACACAAAAGCAAACTCCGTTATGATCCCCTAAACAAACCCAAACAAAAGACAAAGCACACATACAAAAAAAAAGAACCCCCACAGAAAGCAAGCAAAAAATAATATGGTACCAATCACTCATTAACAAAAAGAAACAAGAAGCAGCAAAAACGAAAAAAAGCTCTCAATCTTCCTCACTCAATATGGCACCAGGGGGGGGTAAAAAGATAGAGAGAGTCCAGTCCAATATACAAAATGTCCCACCAACCCAACACACCAAGCATTACTACTACGCCGCACTCGTCGTCCCCAAATCCACTTTTTTCGCCACAGGCTCTCCGCCGGCCCCCTCCTCCAACGGCCTCTTCACCCCACCACCGCCACTTCCACCAGTACTTCCACCACCAGTGGCTGCTGCTGCAGCAGCCTCTTTGGCTTCCCGCTCCTTCTTCTCCTTCGCCACTAGCAGTGCACGGTACAGCGCCTGCTTCTTCTCGATCGATAGGTTCTTATAATTCGTCGTCGCCAGCGGCGTCGTCGGCGTCGTCTTCTGCGTCTGCTGTGGAGCCTGCGCCTGTGTCTGCTGAGGAGTCTGTGTCTGTGTCTGTGTCTGCTGTGCCGCCTGTACCTGTACCTGTTGCGCAACCGGCGCCGTCGCCGCCGTCCCCCCCTTCGCCTTCAACCCCCCCACCCCCCTCGCCTCCAACAACCTACTCAACTGCTTCACCACCTCCACGCCCACATTCTTCAACTTCCCACTGATGAGCCCATGCACGACCGACTGCGCCTGCACGACCAGCCTCGGGTCCAGCCCCGCCGCGTCCCGGTCCGCAGAGACGCGCGAGAGCTGGTTCTTGAGCACCTCGATCGCCGCGATGATCTCCGGGGAGGCTGCAAGTTTTGACGGTGGCGGGATGGGGATGGGGGCGTGCGGGAATTGTTGTTGCTGTTGGGGCGGCTGGGGCCTGTGGGTGGTGGCGGTGGTGGGGGTGTGTTGTGTAGGTTGTGAGGGCGCAGGCGGTGGCGGAGGAGGAGGAGGCTGGTATGCGAGTGGCATCGGCGGCATTCTCTGCTGCTGCTGTTGTGGGTATACCTGCTGCTGCAGCGGGGGCGCGGGAGGGTGTGCGTACTGCGGGCGCTGCGGGACGTGTGCCGGGTCCGCCTGTACATACATCGGCATCTGGGGATGAAAGTGGTGACCATTCGCCTGCAGCGCATGATGCTGCTGCTGCTGCTGCTGCTGCTGCTGCTGATAATACGGCGACACACCCTGCTGCATCTGCTGCTGCTGATGGTGCTGGTGCTGGTGGTGCTGATACGCAGCGGGGCGCTGAGCGGCAATGTTGGCTTTATTCTTCTCCTTCTCGATCGACACGCCCTCATTGATCCCCCACAGCCAGCCCTTGCCGCTCCTCGTCACCTTCGTGAACGCCTTATGCGCGCCCAGGTTATGCCGCACGCTGCTCTGCCACCCCGTCGTTGTGACGCGCAGCTTGAAGTAGGGGTACTTCCGCTCGATGGCCTTGTAGATCTGCGGGAGTGTGAGCGCCTGCTGCCCGCTGTTTGAGATGGCCTCGTGGATGAGGATCACGTATGATGCCGAGGGCTTGAGCAGTGCCTCCGGCGGGTAGTCGGCTTCGTTGATCTCGGGCGAGGGCGTGCGCTTCTTGGGCTGCGGTTTTTCTTTCTTGGGTTTTGGCTCTTTGCGGTCGCGGTCGCGGTCGCGGCCGCGGGGGGGCGAGGAGGGCGATTGGTGGGCGGTGGTGGAGGTGTTGTTGTTGTTGTTGTTGGCGTGCGGGTGCATGGCGAGCGGGGGCGTGTAGCTGGGGACGGAGCTGTAGAGCTGCGGGTCGATCGGGGGGGCGGAGGCGTTGAATGCGGCGACGGCCATGAGCGGGTTGGACGGCGAGAAGGCCTGCTCGGGCTCGGGGATCGTCTGCTGCTGCGGAGGAGAAAGAGACTCTGTCGCCGATGCAAGTGCGGCCATTGGGTCAGCGTATGTATGGAGATTCTCGTGCTGCTCCTCCAAGTCCTGCTTTATCTGTTCGGGTGCCTGTGCCTGTGCCTGCTGCTGCTTCGGCGGTCTCCCGGGCCCCTTCTTCACGCCCGCCGCCGCCGCCGCCGCCGCCGCCTTCTCCCCCTCCTTCTTCGCCGGCGTCGGCAAATACAACTTCGCCTTCTTCGGCTCCTCCCCTGCACCGCCCGCCCCCCTCTGCGGCAGCTGCAACTTCCTCTGCTGCTCCTTCCTCACCTCCCTCTCCCTCCTCTCGCGCTCCTTCTCGCGCTCCCGCTCCCTCGCAAGCCTATCCTTCTGCCGCTGCCGCTCCTCCCTCTCGAGCCTCTTCCTCTCCGCTGCACGCTCCCGCTCCGCCTCCTTCTGCCGCCGTGCCGCCTCCAGCTTCTCCTTCTTCCTGCGCTCCTCCTTCTGGCGGGCGAGCTCCTTTGCGCGCGCCTTCTCGGCTTCGAGCCGCGAGTGCGCGGTCTCGTCTTTGCGGGGGCGGCCGCGGCCGCGCTTCTTCTCGACTGTGATGGGCGCAGGCGGCGGCGGGGCCTCTTCTTCCTCGTCGGAGGAGGACGAGAGCTCGCTCGAGGAGTCGCTCTTGTTCTCGGCGTCGCCCTGCTCGGCCTCGTCGTCTGCGGCCTCGACCCCGTCTTCTTCTTCCTCCTCATCCTCGTCCTCGTCCTCGTCGCCCTCGTCGTCATCATCGTCGTCCTCGTCGTCCTCCTCGTCGTCAGAGCCCTCCATGCTCCCGTCACTATCAACCTCGCCGTCACCCTCTTCATCCATCCGCGCCATCTCCTCGTCCTCGTCCTCGTCCTCGTCCTCGCTGTAGTCGTCCGTCTTGACCTCATTCCCATGCTCGTCCGTAAACGCCAGGCTCATCTTCCCCTTCCCTCTCCCCGGCGGCGGCCTCGCCGACTGCTTCTGCTCCTGCTCCTCCTCAAACTGACCACCGCCGCCTTGCTCGACCGGCACCACAATCTTGAAGCCAATACCGCCAATCTGCACCCTCATCCCCGCCTCGGGAACAACCCACGTGGTGCCCGACCCCACAAACTCCTCGTCCACGAACGCGCCGTTCTTGCCCGTGACCTTGAACTCGAACCGGCGCTTGATAAAGTTGTACGTCAGCAGCGCGTGCCTGCGGGAGATGTTCTTGCGCGGGGGCAGCGGCAGCGTGTCGGCCGCGCCATTGAGCGGTAGGTGGATAACGGGTATGTCGTCCTCCTCCTCCCCCTCGGCACCCCCTCCTCCTCCACGGAGCATCTGCATCTGCGGCCTCATCCCACCATCCCCACCACCTCCACCGCCATCATCATCACCGCCACTCTCATCCTTCTTCTTCCTCCGCTTCTTCTTCTCCCTCTTCATACTCATCGCCCCCGGCGCCGTCTTTGGATCAAACCCACCAAACCCCACCCCGACCCCGACCCCCATGCCCATGCCGCCACCAACAACCGTGCTCCCGTCCGGCCCACACTGCTGCTGCTGCTGCTGCAGCTGGAACGAGCTGCTCGTCGCGCCCTCGGCGCGCCCAAACACCACCGACGAGTTCTGCACGTAGAACACCTGCCCGTCGTCGAAATCCAGGCGCACAAACGCATTAATGACGTGCGCCGCGCACTCGACCAGGTCCTGCAGCGAGGCCTGCTGCTGTTGCTGCTGCTGCTGCTGCTGCTGCTCGCGGTGCCGCAGCTCCTCGAGGCCGGCGATGCCGGCGTTGAGGGAGGACCGGCGGCGCGCGCGTGGGTCGGGGTCGGCGAGGAACTCGTGGAGTTCGCCGGGGTGGACGACGGGGGAGGGCGTGATTTGCGATTGGGGCTGCTGTGGGGCGGTGGGGATTGGGAGTGGGGGGAGGGCGGGTGTGGTTGTTGAGGTTGTTGTGGGGGTGGGGGGTGAGGGTGTGGGTCGGCGGCGATGGGGAGGGGGAGGGCGGGCGAGAGGCCGAATGCGTCGAGGGCGTCGAGGGAGGGCTCTACCGCCGCGGGTGTGGCTTCAGCGGGGAGCAATTGTGCGCCTTCTTCTACTGCTTCTGGTATAGGCGGTGGGGACGGTGGGGGCGGTGAGGGTGGTGGGTGAGCATCGTCGGTTCCAGACATTGGATGGTCCTCCGTCTGTGTCTGTGTCTGTGTCTGTGTCTGAGTCTGTGTCTGTATCTGCACAATCGATTCCCCCGCGTTCTGCACTTCCGGCAATGGCAACGGTAATGGGCTGCCCGCTTTCTCCGGCACCTGCACCTGCATCGGCGTGTCTGTGTCCTTGCCCTTGTCCTCGCTCTCGCTCTCGCCCTCGCTCGCTGGCGCTGGCGCTGGCGCTGGCGATTGCTGCGGTGGTGGAGGCGGTGGAGGTGCCGCCACGGGGAGCATCTCCCCAGCCACCGGGGGTGGGGGCGCATCAACGACACCATCACCACCACCGTCTTTTCCCATATCCACATCTGCTCCTTCCACCTCCTTCCCCACCACCACCTCCTTCTTCTCCACCGCCGATTCCTGCCCCTCCTCCTTCCGCAGCGTGTCCCCCTCCTCCCGCATCACCGCGTCATCGCTAACCGACGCCGGCGGGTTGTTCTCCATCGGGGCCGGTTGTTGCTGCTGCTGCTGGCGGTGTCTCACGGCTGCGTGTCCAGCGTGTGTGTTTTCCTGTCGTCGTAGTGATAGTGATAGTGATAGTAGCTATAGATTGTAGGTTGTAGATTGTAGATGTGTGTGGTTGTGGAGAGAGAAAGAGAAGGTTGTCTCCCGTCGTCGATCTCGTCTCGTGGAAAGAAAGTGACGGACGGATGAAATGGCAGCGAGCGAGGTGGATTTGGGGGGGGGCTTGGCACTGGGTTAGGGTTGGACATACATAGTAGTCTACAGTTATGCATGCGCAGGGGAACGTGTGTATTTACAGTGGAATTGTGTTTGAATATACACTCGACTTGGGGTTCTCTGGATATCATCGTCTCTACGTCTCAGCTCCCTCAGCTCTCAGCTACACATCTACAATACATCCAACACTCTGCACTCCAGCCTCACCACCAAGACCAGCACAGCAATGGCCGCAACCCCCGCCTCCCGCCTCCTCCTCCTGCACCAAGTGCCCTCCCACCCCAACACCAAAGTGCGCTTCCTCGGCTGGTACCCCCCCCCCCTTCCCCTTCCCCTTCTACCCCACAAACCACAACTAACACCACCACCACAGCATAACAACCCACGACCCCACCTCCCCCCTGCTAACACTAACGCACCCCCCCTCGCGCCTCGCCATCCACGTCGACATCAGCCTCGTCGCGGCCACGCTGGCACTGGGGTCGCTGCGCGACGGCGAGTGGGTCAATGTTGTCGGATACACGTCTGCGGCGCCGGCGGCGGGCGAGGAGATGGTGGTGACGGCGATTGTGCTGTGGGGCGCGGGGGCGGTGGGGGTGGGGGAGTATGCGAGGGTTGTGGGCGGGTTGGTTGGGGGTGGGGGGTGTAGGGGGGAGGGGGAGGGGGAGAAAAGGGGGAGGGAGGGGAGGGAGGGGAGGGAATTGGGGTTATTGGGGGTAATCGGGGTCTTTGGGTAATTGGCAGTAAGGTGTCAAGTAAAACCGTAATTATAATCATTGGCCTTTTTCGTATTCGGACTTCAAGCTTGCGGACTAGCTAGCTACTGGCTATGCAACTACCAACACTGACTACTACTACTAACAGCCGTTCTTTACTGATGCTGGACACTCATAGTTCTTCGCTGCCATTGCTAGTAGCTACTACTACTACTACTACAGATATGATAGCTCCCGGCTGTCACTGCTAAATAGCTACCAACCAACACCTGCGCTGCCATCACCACGTACGTACCAATACCATCGCCAATGAACGGCCCACCACTACAAACCACCACCAACGGCCAACACCTGCTCCCAGCTACTACCAACTACCAGCTACCAACACCAATTACCAATAACAATAACAGTAATAACAATAATAATATTGATGCACCTAACCCCCCGTACCTCGAGATGCAGATGCCAATCAACCCCTATGCTCTAGATGCAAAACAAAACCCCCCGTCTAATGATATGATGATCCACTCGGTCTAAAACACCAACCGACCCCAATGAAGATAAGATGACAGTCGACAAAGGAAAGGAGGTAAAAAGAAGGAAGAAAAGAAAAACCCAAAGTCTAAACTACGCATACCCTTCTATCCCAACCCAGCCCACAAACAGACTACCCAAACCAAACCCGCACGCCGCATGCCCATAAACCCACAAAAGAAAAGAAAAGAAAAAAAACGAACAAACGACCAAACACAAAACACCCCTCCCCAGCAATCAAACACTACAAAAACACCCCCACTACCACCCCCACCTTCCACCCCCCCGTCCCTCCTCCCACCACCGCCCCTTCCACACCTTCACCCTCTCCGCCACCTCCTCCAACCCCACCCTCCCCTCCGCCCCCCTCCCAAAACACCCCCTCAGCACCCCCTCCACCACACCCCCCCTGCCCACCTTCACCGCCCTCTCCCCGCCCCTCACCCACCCCACCGGATCCCCCTCCCTCGCATAAATCCCGACATGCCTCACGCCCTCATACACCTCACTCCCCAGCGCCGCCGCCAACAACGTCATACCAACACTATACACATCGGCCCCCACCTCCAACGGCGCCTTCCCCCCGCCCAAAAACCCACGCAACACCTCCGGCGCCGCAAACCCCGTCGTCACAGCACTCACCCCCTCCCCCACCACCTCGCCGCCCCTCTGCGCGCTCGAGAAATCGCACAGCACCGGCTCAAACAACACCGCACCGGGGTTCTCACGACAATACGCATCCCACACCTCATCACCATCCCCATCCCCATCCGCGCCGGGGGTGTACGCCCGCAGAAGGACATTGCCCCACTTGATATCCCCGTGCACCACGCCAGCCGCATGCACGGCCGCCACGGCCGCCACCAGCCGCTCCGCCAGGAACAGCCACTGCGCGAACCCCACCACCGGTTCGCCGCGCTGTGTCTTTGTCTTTATGTTTGGCGCGCGGGCGAGGGACTCGAGGGTGCCGGCGGCGAGGAGGTCGAGGTACAGGTGTGCGGTCTTGGGGTCGTAGTAGTGTATGCGCGCCACGCACGGCGGGGAGGAGGTTGTGAGTGCTGCTGTGAGGTGGGATAGGATTTCTGCCTCTGCGTGGAGGATGGGGAGCGCGGAGGGGTTGGAGGGTGTTTTGACGGCGAGGTGGGGGGTGAGTGAGTAGACGGTTGACCATGCGCCGGAGCCGAGTTTGGCGGTGTAGGGTGTTGAGAGGAGGTGTGCGGGGGGTGCGGGGGTAGCGGTGAGGGGATGTGGGGTGAGAGGGGTGAGCGGGGGGGTGGGGTGGGTGTAGGAGGTGGTGGGGGGGATGGTGATTGGGGTGGGGAGCTTGGGTATGGGAGACATTGGTGGTGGTGGTTGTGGAGTTTCAATTAATTGGTGGGAGGTAGGCTGGCTCGAGCTGTGAAGTATGTGTGGTGTCGAATAATTGGTTGTGAAATTGGTTGAGTGTATTCGAGTCTTGAGGAGGTAGAGGAGGACGGAGAATGGGCGGCGCGGAGTTTAAGTGCTCGGCGCAAGCAACGAATAGTAGTGACGGCAGCAGTGCGTGTGATATAAAGCTAGGCAAAGGCCGATGTCGACTCGATACTATTTATGTCCGTCCCGAACACAGACAGGTAACAGCCAGACCAAGTATAGAATAGATTTGATTATAGAATGTAGATTGGAGAGGTATGTGAGCGGGACAGGTATATATATGTCTTGTCGTTGCAGAAGCAGTATCGTGAGTAAAAAGTACTCAAACGGTCCACGAATCGAATTCGGAGAAGGGACAATTAGAACTGCCCGCCTGGATGCCTGAGTGGCTTTGCTTTTCTTCCAGCTGGGGTAGCAAGTAAGTAGTCCCAAGAGAAGTGTGTAGCGGGCCAGGCAGAAAGGATGATATATATGTCAGGCAGTCCAGGCAGGCAGGCAGGCAGGCAGGCAGGCAGGCAGGCAGGCAGGCAGGCAGGCAGGCAGGCAGTTAAGTTGGTTAGGTTGTGAAGAAGAAAATGAGTGAGTGCCATGCCCGACCCACCCAACAACAACCTTCCCCATCCCCACAAGTGAGTGGAGAAAGAGCGACTCGCGCAGAGCGTGCAGAGTAGTGTGCAGTGCTGCTCAGGAAAGAGAGGAAAGCATGCCATCCATGCACACCAACGACATTAGGTTAGCTACATAGCTGTGTGTGCCAGCCAACCACGCACAGTGTTTCAACACTTCCCCCACACATCCACGGTCTCTGTTTCTGTCTCTCCGTGAAGAGTAATGGAAAAGAAAAGAAGAGCTCTCTGCTCTGTGTGACCTCGTATGTCGATCCTCACATCCCATCCCCCGTCCGTCCATCCCCAAAGGTTCACTCACCACAACTCCCGAGCGTCCATGGTCCATGGTGAAGAACCGTTACTCCCCACGGATCCCCATCCCCATCCCCATCATCAATTATCCCACTACTAAACAAAAAGCCAAAACCTGCTCTTCCCCGAGCCCGAAAAGCAAAACTAAACAATAATATAAAAAAGATTCCCCCCCCCCCAACCAAGCAAAATAACAAAAAACCCCGAGACTAAGAAACCCACCTGCACTGCTGGCCGTCAATTACTCTACAATAATAATCCCGGACGAAACGGAATCACCGGGTCTTATCTGGCTATTGCCGGTTGAAACAGGGACGTTTTTTTTTTTTTTTTTTTTTTTTTTCACGACTCGGTAAACTACACTTTTTCTTTTTTCCCCCCTTCAAACCCACCGCACGCGCACCAGAGTGCTCTACTGCGGTAGTAGTAGAGGGATTTTCCGGAGATAATACGATACAATAGATAAGCGACAGGGATGTGGGGGGGGGGGGGGGGAAGTGTAAAGTAAAGTAAAGTGTAGAGTGAGTGACATGTAGGTAAGGGAGCTACAGGTAAGGTATGGATGGATGGATGGATGGATGGATGGCATATGTTATAGGGAGTTACGGACTGACGGCCGGACGAACATGAACATGACGACGAGCAAGGCGGGTATCGGTTGTGTTTGTGATAATTTCCATTTCCCCTTCACGCACACTACTGCAGGTTCGAAAGGAAGCCGTAATCTGCAATCTATTAATCCTCAATCTCTTGTCTTGCGGGCCTCGAGATAGGTTAGGGAGGTAGATAGAGATTATGTGGCTATCTTTGCTTTCTCACTCTCTCTCTCTCCCACTCTATCATCTATCACTCTCACTCGGGCTGTGCAGGCAAGAGGTAGAGTTGCGCGACGGGATAGAGATAGAGAGATATTGTGGAGTGCGCCAGAGATAGAATATAAAAATACATGTACACATCTTACAGCACGTTACATTGAAGATGATAGAGCACATAACTCCGATAAGTGCTGACCGCCCAGCCAACCCAATTTGAGCCTCAATGTCCGTGCGCCTAGGGTAGGTACAAACTAACATCTACATACATCATGTACCTACGCCGGCTAATTCCATCTACCTCGTCTTCAATTCTTCTTCCCCCCCCATAACCACCACATACAAACATACAAATCCCCATACCTTCTATCCCTCCGCTCTCCACACACAACCCAACCCAACAGAACTCTTTCCTCTCCCCACAGGCCTCCACATCCACGACTGTAGATCTCCCCGTGGGTGTGTTTCTGCGCGTTGATTCGCCAATGGGGAACCACCACCACCCTCCTCTCACCTCCACACACCCACACATGACACCTGCAGAGTACCTAATAACCGGGGCCCGAACGTCAATAAATTCATTGTTGCATAACCTCGACACAGCCACGCGCGGCGAAGCGGTAGGATAAGTTTAATATTCGTTTGCCCTTCCTCCTTCCCCGAGGATATATTGGAAGATCAGCAGTGAAGGATCCACCACTTGGCAGCAGAGGGCAGGTTGCCTGAATTGACTTCTCATCCACTCACTTGCGCACTCTGCCCGAGCATCTTCTCGCTGCGGTGCGCAAGTATTTACTCACTCCCATCCATAGAAAACCACCGCTAAAAGCCACCCCCAGCAACGCCATCCGCCCATCACCACAAGTGCAAGAAAACCCACGCCCGATGGTTCAAACCCCAATTGCCAAAAACCTGGGAAAAAAAAATTGAAAAAAAAATAAAAGGTGGAAAAAAAAAGGAAGCAGAAAGAGGTTGTTTCAAAAGCAAGAGGAAGAAGAAATTAAAAAGACACGGTTCGCGATCGGCAGCACGTGGTCGCCGCAGATCGGATCATGTGTAATTAAGTACCGTATTCCCCCGCTTTTTTGTTTTGAATTGGCGTTGGGGGAAGAGAGGAGATGGCAAGCTGGAGTGGAGAGGGTATCGTGATTGCGATTCTGCCTGTCGTGGGTGGTGTGGGGGGCGAGTGAGGGGTTGTGATCGGTGGTTGCAATATTTCAATAGTCTGTGCGCTGCGCGCGGTAGTCCCGTGCTCTGGCATGCATGATATTCTCCAAACGTGAGGCCCATTCTATGATAGGCGCTCTACTCTACTTTAGAGTATAGTTGCAGATACATAGAGATCGATATCGTGACTCAATGTCTTTTCCAATTGATTAGAAACCTGGATCGCACCTAAGCTGGATTAGATACGGAGTACATATACTTGACTCTGGCTCTAAGCATACATAGAAGAGCTATTGGATAAATTGATCTGGATGATCTGAGATTTCGATGTTACATGGGCATATGGATGTTCATCGTGACTGCCTAAATGCACCCAAAGTCCAATCCAAGGGAACGATGCTATGAATGACTTCCAGAGAGATGAAGATGCCAGATTTCAGATGTATAGATCATCCCTGCCGTTTCATAGTGTTGGAGAAGGAGCTTTTGGGCGCCTGGTAACTGGCACAAGGTTTAAATTTAACCTCTCAACAATATAGTGTTTGCTTGCGAATCGAGGGGCGGTGAGGCAGACCCAAGATATAGGGTTATTATTCAGGGGCCTATTCTATGTAGCCCTCAGTCGATAAACCTTGTCAATACACAAAACCACTCATCAATGTTTGAGGCTTAAATCACTGCTGTGGTGCTTGCGTGACCGATACTAGCTAGACGTAGTCGTATATAAAGTCCGCCATAATAAAGCTGCGAGCGTAAATTTAAAAAGGGAAGTAAGCCAAGAATGCAAAAAAATAATGATGTTATTATCGCTCGTTGCTTTGATTGGTAGGCCTTCGAACCATGTTTTTTCGAGTAAAGGAAATATAGAGCTTCGTCGGTGGCTACACGGTGTCATCAGCGAGAGGGACGGGGATGACAACATGTATGTACCCACAAATCGTACAAGGAAACTACGTAGAGACAGATATCACAGAACTCAAAAAGAACAGATTATCAACAACGGGGAGCAAAGAAATAACCACATATACATAAGAGCCTACCAACTTATCAGTTTTCTAAGCCCCCAAACCTGCGTTCTTCTACTACATTCTCTCCGGCCTAAACCCTTGAACAGTATTCATAAGCCCTTATGCGCCAGCATGAAACTCGTTTTAGGTTTTATCGATATCGTTTAAGTGGGTCAGCCCAACCTAGAGACATAAACTATCGACTAAGTTGAGTCATTAAATTTATAAAAGGAGACGGTTATGGCTGAACATTATCGTTCCAATGTTTATAAAGCCCAAGGCTGAAGGTTTAGAGCAGTTAGTAGGTTTAAGGGAATAATAGTTAGTAGGACGGTGAGTTAGTGAGTTGATAGACCGGGGAGAGAATCCCTGTAGTCTTGTCGTTAATGTGTGCCTATCATTTTGTCTACTTCTGTCTTGCTCGAATGTGTCATTCGCCGCTCGGCTGCGGCTTAATCACACAATCTCACTCGTTTACACAAACGCAACATCAGCCCAGCCTTAGATACATGTATCCAGCTGTAAAGAAATATCCCTAAATATAGGAGGTCTCTTTCTTACCAGATGTAATTTTTTGGTTTTTCCTCCGTTTATGGGCTTGGAACTGATTCTGACGACGAGGCTCATCATTACATGTATGTAATTAATATTTCAATAACTCTAGTTGATATATATAGCTGTTATATTTTCTGTTATCCCTTAGCCAGGTGCGAGCGGGAGTCGAGGGAAGGTTTAGCTAGTAGTTCCATTCTTTGGACCGAGCACAGCAGTAGTGTTTACACATATTCCGAGAGATTGCGTACAGTTACCTCAGGGGTCTTTAGACAATTGAGTTTCCTTTCATTTTTTCTCTTAAAACACAGTGCCCACCCCCAGGCCGGCAAACCCCTTGAATTAAAGATTTGACTTTGGGGGGGGGGGGGGGGGGCAACTGTTTCCGTACAACAAGCGAAGCATGGTTGCTTTTTCGACAGATCTTCAAACTCTAGAACGCGCTGTAACCACAGCTAGCCCTTGATGTT